GTTCGGAAGCACGGGCAGAATTGCGGCGGGAAACCGCGCGGTCCGCCTGGCGTGACTGGGGTGCCATTAGAAAATAATGGCACCCACAGCGCGATCGGCTCACACCTTGGCAACTCCTGACTGTACGGCAATCCGCACGTAATCGTGCACGATTGCTGCGCAGTGAGGTGTTGCCTAGGTGTGAACTTAGCCTGAAGTGCACACCACAAAGAGTGCTGCATATTGTGCTAATGCACGTTAAACCGCCCATTACTGCAACGCCTAGATGTGAATAACTGTGTGGCTAACTGTGTGGCTGCATTTGACCTGCTTTGTTGCATTTCTTTGGATCACTCCCCCTTCGCTCAGTGCCGGATTCCCGGCAAGGAATTGTCACACGGCATCCTCATAGTTCGCGCCGACGTGTGACAATGAAACTGTCACATGTCGGCTCAATAGATCGGGAAGTGAGCGAACGCATACTGTTGCTCGCTCACTTCTCGATCATCTCCTTGCAGAGAGCGGTGACTGTCAGTCACCTCTCCCCACAGAGATTTCCCCACTCCGATCCTCAAGTGCTGACTGGAGGAACAGACGGGGGAGGGGGAGGGTACAGTTGGCTCTGGCTCTAGATAGGCAGAGCCAGCTGTCATTCACACAGCAGGGTGGATCTCGACAGCATTGTCGGGATCCGGCCCGGCTGCGGCAGTCTCAGTATACCGCAAGCTGTAGCTCGCAATATACTGAGCTTTGGGTCACGGGAGGACACTCGTATATGTCCTCCCGTGACACTTAAGAGAACTATGGGGAAAAACACTTACCCCATAGTTCTCTATTAAAGCTTTGCGAATTAATATTAAGGGCTGCCAAAGAGGTGAGCTTAAAGGTAAACCATACTCATCTCCAGCAATGTCTGTGAGCTCCCTTGCCAGCGCTAACGTCTTTGCCCTATCGTCTTTCAGGTCTGGATTCTTTGTCCTTCTTGATTGGCTGTGCCAGGGTAATGTACCAGACAGATGCAGGAATTGTACACTGAGCGGCATGTCCGTACATTGGTTAGCAGATGTAAACAAACAATGTCTCGTCTGCAGTAAAAAAGCTTGCCTGTTTAAATGACATTTTATGTAGAATTCTACTTTAAGAGTTCCTCTATTGCAGAGAACTTTTTGGGGGATCTAATAGAGTTTGCTTTATTAGCAGCTCTTTAACCTCTTGCCGTCCGCCCGTAGTAAAAAAACGGACGGACGGCACTGCTACATCTGCGGGTTGCCGTCTCCAGACGGCAATTTTTTTCTGCTCGCGCGCGCCCCCTAGCGGGCACGCACGGGCAGAAAAGACCCGTCCAATGCGAACACCCGGTACCGGGTGTTTCACATATAGGCGATCAGCGGGTCCATAGCCCGCCGCGCGCGGTCGGCGCTTCCGTTTTTTTTCTCCCCGACCCCTCACCTTGATTCCCGGTATCCGCTGCCCCATCTTGGATCCCGGGACCGGCTCGGAGGGCGTCAGGAGGAGGAGGACGGGAGATCAGCTCCTTGCTGATCTCCCTCCGGGCTGTGAATGCAGAAGTGATGTGTGTTACATCACTTCCGCATTCACCTGTCAGTCATCTGGAGAGAGAAGAAGCTGATAAAGCAGATCTCTGCTTCATCAGCTTCTTTTGGGGTCCACAGGTGATATTAGGGGTCCTAGAGACCCCTAATATCTCCATAAAGAGGACCTGTCAGTGTGCCTTTGCTATTATATAGGGGGTTGTTATCCCCCTATATAATAGCAATAACAATAAGTGCAAAAAAAAAAATATAAATAAAAAAAAATAAAAGTAACACATAAAAAAATAAAATAAAAGTCACATATAAAAAAAGGGGAAAAAAACCCCCCAAAATGTTTAACTCCCCCACCCCCACGTTTACGCGCCTATAAACGTAAATACGCGTCCGGTGCCCCAGCGCGCAAAAATTACAATTGCGCTACACATGTTACATATCGCCGCGAACGTCGCAGTGAGAGCAATCATTTTAGGGCCATCAATCACTGATAACACTAAACTGATGAGCGGTAACAGCTTTTAAAGCGTCGCCTATGGCCAATTTTGGGTATTATCGTTTTTTGAGGTTTCGCGCGCGCACGCAATTTTAAGGCTTGACATGTTTAGTGTCTTTTTACCCGACGTGACCCCATCTTTTATATTTTACCAAAAAATTGGGTAATAATAAATGTTTTATCATTTAATATAGGGGAAACTGTTTTTTTTTTTAAATTTCGGTAATTTTTCCTTAATATAGTAAAAAAATAAAACCCCCAGTGGTGAATAAATACCACCAAAAGAAAGCTCTATCTGTCCCCAAAAAAGGGTATAAAATTCATTTCAGTACAGCGCTGCATGACGGAATAAATGTCAGTCAAAGTACCGCAGCGCTGAATACTGAAAAATGGCCGGGATGGGAAGGGGGTTTAACACCGCGGATGTCAACTGGTTAATAAAAACATGTGTTGTTCAAGGGCTCCATCTAGTGTTTGCTTTAGGATATGACTTGCAAGAAAATGCTGAGATACAATGCATATGCAAGCAAGTCAACAAGACTAACACACCAGCTTCTTCCTTCAGTTTATTCAGTTAAGTATTGAAAATAAAAGATAGAAGCTAATTGGTCATCATGGGCAACTGCTCCAGATTCTGTCTGCTCCAGTTTTGATAAATTCCCCCCAATGTCTCTTCTACAGCAACAGATTCTTAGCTGCTTGCATGCAATCTTCTTCACAATGCGCACTGGGCTGCACAGCTCAGTGTACACTTTTGGCATCTGCCAGGGCCTATGAGCTCTAGTGCATGTCCAGATAGAAAAACATCAACGTGGGATTCCCCTCTCCTATACATAAGAGCCCCCCTTCTACAGCAGAAGCCCCCTTTATATCAGAGTGCCCCCCTTCACATTAGAGTCTCCCCTTTCACATCAGAAGCCCCCTTTATAACAGAGCCCCTTTTCACATCAGAAGCCCCCTTTATATCAGAGTGCCCCCTTCACATCAGAAGCCCCCTTTACATCAGAGTCCCCCTTTCACATTAGAAGTCCCCTTTATATCAGAACCCCCCTTTCACATTAGAAGCCCCCTTTACATTAGAGTCCCCCCTTCCACATTCGAAGCCCCCCTTTACATCAGCGCCCCCTTTCACATCAGAAGCCCCCCTTTCACTTTAGAGTTCCCCCTTTCACATCAGTAGCCCTTCTTTCACCTCAGAGTTCCCCCTTTCACATCAGAAGCCCCCCTTTCACATCAGAGTTCCCCCTTTCACATTGGAAGCCCCTCTTTCACCTCAGAGTCCCCCCCTTTCACATCAGAGTCCCCCCCTTTCACATCAGAGTCCCCCCTTTACATCAGAGTCCCTCCTTTACATCAGAGGCGCCTAAGAACATCAGGGAGTGTCTATTATTATTGGGGAACATTCTGTGGGGTGTCCTGTACATGATCACTATAGAACACGGTTGTATCCAGTGCCCCCCTTTTTGTTATGTGACATTGTAGCCCAGAAGCTGACCTGAGTACATAATTGGGCATATTTATGTAAAAAAAACATGTTTAATGCGAGTACATGTTATCTTCATACATGTTATCTTCATACATGTATCATACGGTATTGGGGAAACTAGAACTGAATAAATCAAGGATGGAGAAAAATGTGAGTGCCCCAGAACATCAAAGACTTTAACCTGATGAATGAATGCAGCTCTGTGTTCATACCAACATCATTAAGACTGGAAGAGGGAGAAGCACAAGGAGCGAGTCAGGCGTGCTCATGTACTAACAAGGAATATGCTGATAGGGGGAGAGAGCAGAGTAATAGAGAGATAAGTTGAACTCAATGGACTTGTTTTTTCCCCCATGTCAGCTCATCACTCTGCTGCTTCTCCTTTCCCTGTCCAGTCAGAGGCTGGGGGAGGGAGGAGACCTGTAAGTGTTATTTCACTGCAGTAGAGAAAAAACAGGTCTGCTACCCTCTCAGATAGGACTGTGTAAATCTCAGAAACGGATGGACAACAGTGTTCATATATGTATGTCATCTGGAGCTCAGTTTGGATAATAGTATGCAAAGCATATCTTAGAGGAGGGCGGGATGATGTCATGATGATGCGATGCAACCGCACAGTGTGCTTACCATTTCCAAACCCCTCTGGTGTATTGACAGGCAGTGGGGAGGCTTTGAAAACACGGCTCATCGGCTTCATTTTGCAGCATGTGTGAACTTGACCTTCCATTGAGCAAAGCTGGACGAAGACTCCAAAAAAGATAATTCCTGGAGTTCTGCTTTAACACGCCATGTGTTAACAAAAGTAGTTTGTTATATTTTCTAATCTGCAACTTTCATTACAATAATCCTTGATGTTCCCGCCATGAAGGTTCCTGTTTAGACACTTCCCGCTCTAAGGTGACAACACACAGACCCTGTCTATTAATTGTTCTACTGTGTTGTCACCGTCATGTGGGCTTCAAATAGAGATTACAAGTTGCCGGTTGGAAACGCACATTACGCAGGCATGGTACACCGTTATCACCATCAGAAGACTACCTGAGAAATGCCATTCAGCCATCATTGGATTGCATGAATGTAAACATGAAGTGGGTGACAGCGGTGAGATGCAACAAAGTGATCACAAGTATCAATGTACAAAGTGTTTAAGTAAAAGGGGGAGGTTGCAGTTGGTTATTATGATCAGTTGGCCATAGCAACTAAGCAACTTCTTCTCTAATTGCTCAATTAAGCTTTGAAAATGAAAGATGGAAGCTCATTGGTTGCTATGGGCTACTTAAGCAAAAGTTAATTCAGTGTTTACATTTTCTTGCACTAAAGAATAAAACTGTAATATCACATTTACAATAACCCTAGTACACTACAATCCGCAGCACTTCCACCACACTACAGAAACAGTGTTAATTATAACACTGTTGTCAATAAAGCTCGCTGGTAGGGAGAGAGGGGGAGTGACGTCATACGCATGCGCCTAAGGTGTCAATGGCAGAAGTCTTTGGAGTCCATATTTGTTGAGGGCATCTGGGGCATCCATTAGAGGGCACAGCATGGTGTTCCTAAGTTTATCACGTTGGGTTCGGAGCCGCGGTCCAGATCGGTACTGGAGGGTTCAGGAGGTGCTGAAACATGCTCGGGTAAGTCAGAGGAACATCGGTGAAATGGGGGATTGTCTGTGGCTGCTGCTGTACTCTGTGACCCCGGGGAAGCTCTCCCTGCGTGCTGCATCCAGACGATCATCCTGCCAGATAAAAGGCTGGGATTCCCTGCAGTGGGCTGCATGTCTTTGGGGCAATCGGATCTGACAGCAGGTGCTGAGGATTGTGGATTAAAAGAATTGACTTTGGTTTTTTGCACTGCCATCAGATGTAGAGGTGAGTGACTGCACCAGCAGGGGAGCATTTATTCACCCATCAGTTGTAGGATCATCAGCTTTGTGCTGATTAAGAGGACGCCTGGACCCTGCCTGCTCCTAATTGTGCTCAGTGCAGACAGTTGTCCACCCACTGTGTCTGATCCCATCCCATTGCATTCTCTTCCATTGTGTCTGATCCCATCCTATCCCACCGCGCCTGATCTGATCCAGTCCGTTCCCATTCTCTTCAATTGCGTCTGATCCAATCCCGTCCGATCCCACCCTTATCCCTACCCGTCCGATCCCACCCCATCCTTATCCCTACCCGTCCAACCCCAACCTAGTAGGGTTTAAAGAAGAACTATGAGGTGAGTGCTTTTCACTCATCCTCATAGTTCTAGCCGACCTGTGACAATGAAACTGTCACAGGTCGGCTCAGTAGATCGGGAAGTGAGCGAACACATACCGGCGTTCGCTCACTTCTCGATCCTGTCACGGCTCTCTGCCGGGACTGGATTCCCTGCTCCGATCCTCCAGTGCTGACTGGCGGAACGGACAGGGGAGGGGGCGGGTACAGCTGGCTCTGCCTCCTAGATAGGATCCCTTCCTCAGGGCGACATAGTGACACCACTATGTCGCCCTGAGGAAGGGACCTTGGGTGGCCCCGGACCCTTGGCTGATGCATGAATAAAAGTGCTTACGCTTCTTGCACATTACTAACGCGTCCTGGTGACTTCTATTACCTATTTGAACTATACTGCCATCTCACACAGCCCTGTGCTCTGGATTTTAAATTTGCTTGCAACTGACGACAACCCATTGGTTAGCACAGGGACCAATGAGAAATTCTTCTGACCATGAGTGCTCGCCATCTGCAAGCAAAATTCAACATCCACAGCGCATGGCTGCGCTAGATGGCAGAAAGGGGTAATTCTGTTTTCCCAAATTTACCTGGAAAAGTGGAATTTCCTTTTTTTAAATGCCAACTCTGCCTCTTCCCTGAAGTCCAACCCACATGTATTCCCTAAAAAATACACAGAATCTTCCTCCCTCTGGCATCAGCTGTGGGTGGTTCTGACATCTGCACACAACAGTACGTGTATACTGTAGTAGCATTTGACTACTGCTCTGTGCAGCAGTATGGTGAGTCCAGGCTGGCATGATGATGCACCCCTAGGGGTGGGTTCATGACCGCCTGGGCTGGCAGGAAGTAGGTTGACTGACACTGGGCCTCATTCAACCCAAAAGAAGTTTGGCACAGCACCACAGAGCGATGAGTCAGGGGACAACGTTGGAGAGAAGATGAGTATTTCAGGGTTTTCTGCTTTTGTTTTTTTGCTGTAACACGTGCTGGGAATATATTTTTTAATATAAAAGTTGAGTCTTAAATTATGATAAAATATCACCTACATCTTCATCCCTATTTTTTTTTTTCTCTTTTGCAGCATTTTCGTGGCCGAAAGAATCGCTGTTATAGCTTGGCGGTACGAGCTGTGCGCAGAGCCTTTGTGTATTCAACAAAAGCCAGAAAAGCAAAGCCGCGCATCATGAGATCGGTAAAGTGTACTATGGTGTCTGTAACGTTTTAGACAAAGCAGAGTTCTTGCTTGTAGCCATTTGCACATAGATGCGGCAGCTACATGCAATTATCATTACTCCTCTGGAAATGTAATTCTCCAATGCATCTGCATACTGACATTGAGACAAATAGAGCAATGACTAAGCTTCAGGCAAACTGATAAATAAAAGATGATCAATGCTTCACCCTCCTGAGGATTTCTAATTCAGCCCAACCAACCAGTCTTGTGGTTTACACACATCTGCTGCTCTGCATTGCACTGCACAGCAAGGCAGGTGACCCACTTGTTTTCTGGTTCAGGACTACAGATTCCAGGACCTTGCTGAGCAATGAATTGGCATCATCACATCTGACGATGAACCAGGAATAGAAAAGAGACCATAATGCCTGTGAGGTGTATAAACCATAATGACTTGTACAAGAGCCCTTTGTACAGCAAGCTTTTGTCGAAGCCTTTAACTATTTCAGTGCAAGTTTGCCTGAGAATTCCACAGTTATGCAACACTAACAAAACAATTTTTATAGTTCTATTTATATCATTTTTTGGGACAAATAGAGTAGTAGTATTTCAGAACCGCCTTTTTTTAAAACTATATAAAGTTTAAAAAAAAGCCTGTTTCTCTTACTTTAAGGAGAACTGAGAACTGAGGTGAGTGATTTTAATCCTCCAGCGCTGACTGGCGGAACGGAAGGGGGAGGGGGCGGGTACAGCTGGCTCTGCCTCTAGATAGACAGAGCCAGCTGTCACCCATGCAGCTGGGTGGATCTAGAGAGTAATGTCGGGATCCGTCCTGGCTGCGGCGGTCTCAGTATACCGCGAGCTGTAGCTATATACTGAGCTTTGGGTCACGGGAGGACGCTAGTATATGTCCTCTCGTGACCTTTAGGAGAACTATGGGGGGGAAAAAACACTTACCCCATAGTTCTCCTTTTAGTTTATAAATCGTAGCAAATAAAAATACCAGAGCAGTGTAAAAATCAGCAAAATTACCTCTTTTTTGAAAAGTAGACACTGTAAGGTGATCTGAATTTTTTTTTTTTTGCTGCAATTTCAAACAAATGAAGAAATATGCCAGTATTGAGGGGGTTAAAACAAGGAGCTTAGTAATAGTGCACAAGATAGAATAAACGTACAGGTCATAGGCAGAGGGGGTAAGAGTGTTAATGTACAGTTTACATACATTGGGAGGATATGAAAGGGTTAATGTATATGCTTTATAAGGGAGGTGAAACGGCTAATATACAGGTCGGGGCATAGACAGAATAGATGTAGCATAAGGGGGGGGGGGGGGGTTAAAAGGCTTTGAAACCCTCCTGCCTCTGATGTAAGAGGAAGGGGAGGGCATGGCAATGTAAACATTGCCATGTAATCGCTGTGATAACCAATCACAGGACACAGAACCGGTCCAACCAGCTGTGTTTGTGTAAAGGTTTGTTTCCCCCAGCCCATGCGTCTACCACAATGTCCCATGCCCGGAACGCAAGGGATCGCACACAAAGTCTCCTTGCGTTCTGGGGCGGGATGGTACGTTCTCTCAGATATATGCCAGAGGACTGGCCGTTTTATTACAGTAGCCAGTCTTCAGGCGGTTTAAAAAAAGCACTTTAAGCAAGTTGTGAGCGCTGCTACTGAAGCCTGTTAGCAGCTTGTTTAAAGTGACAGCACCCAGTGATATGTGGTTAACCTCCAAACTGGAGCTGAAGGGTGATTTAAAGGCTTCAACAAAGCTGCTGAAAGCCTGCTGTTTACCGTGGGCAGGCAATTCCGGCCTTCCAGCTGTTGTGGACCTACAAGTTCCATGAGGCATTGTAAGACTCACAGTTACAGGCATGACTCCCAGAAGCATGATGAGGTTTGTGGTTGAAGCACAGCTGGAGGGTCGGAGATGCCCAGCCCTGCTGTACACACTGCCTTGATACAATCTGAAGCCCATTTGAACAAGGTATTATGGACCAGTTATTCAAAAATTCGGTCTCTTTGGGTTAATAAAGCTCAACTCCGGGAAAAGCAAATACAAAGAGGCCTGTGTATTTCCTCCAGATCTGTGCAGTGGGAAACTGCCTCTGTGCAGAAGATTCTTGTAATAAAGACCGGTCACTGCTGCGCACTCTCCTTGTGCAGGGTGACTGGTCTTGTCTTCGCCTCCTCCTGTAGTTTTCTACAGCCTGCTGGGTTCGTCCCACAGCTCTGCCCTCTGCACAGCTGATGATGTCATCACTACTTTTGCAAGGTAATAACCCTGCAAGATAGCTCATTTTAAAGGAATTAATTTGAGTATTTTGGGGAATATATTTGAATGAAAATTTTGTGCCTGGAGTTCAGCTTTAAGCATGATTTTTGTTCACCATCAGATAGGTGAATGGATGGTTCTTTTCAAATGTGGAGGAGGAAACGTGATGGTCTAGGATTCGTTGTCTGCATTCAGAGTCGGCGACACAGCGCCGTCCCTACCTTCTAGTCTACACCTAGATGATCTTACAGCAACATAATGACACCAAACATCCATCCTGGCTAAGTTAGCCTTACCTTAGAAGAAAAGAACAAGATGGCGGGCCACAGTAGTCTCCAGACTTAAAGGAGAATAATGGGGTTTTCCCCATAGTTCTCCTTAGGGTAACGAGAGGACACAAACTAGCGTCCTCCCGTCACCCTAAGCTCAGTATACCGCAAACTGCAGCTCGCGGTATACTGAGACGCGGCAGCTGAAGCGGATCCCGACAATTATGTCTGGATCCGCCCAGCTGCGTGACTGACAGCTGGCTCTGCCTATCTAGAGGCAGAGCCAGCTGTACCCTCCCCCATCCATTCCGCCAGTCAGCGCTGGCGGATCGGAGGGGGGAATCCAGCCCCTCCCCTGTCACGGCAGAGAGCCGTGACAGAATCGAGAAGTGAGCGAACGCCGGTATGTGTTCGCTCACCTCCCGATCTACTAAGCCGACCTGTGACAGTCTCATTGTCACAGGTCGGCTAGAACTATGAGGTGAGTGAAAAGCACTCACCTCATAGTTCTCCTTTAAACCCAATCAAGCTGGTTCCGTAAACCCTGGTAATAGGGCGTGCAGCCCAGACATGAAAGGGAGTCTCCCAGTTGAAGGCCCAGTGCATGAGTAAACAAAGCCTGCCTCTGACTTCACAAGGTGCTGGTAATGTCCCCTCTCTCTATGAGGAATTTGCCATGTAATGACTTGTAATAATTGGAATGGCATCAGTCAGATCTCGCCCCAACAACTATGTTGTATCTGTCTGCTGTCAGTGCACATATATACAGAATTCTCTACTCATGTAACGCTCCACTATAGCAGCACACAATCATGGTTCTTAGAATAAAGGTGACCTCCAACCTTGCCTTCAGCCTCGCACAGTTGTACCGGCTCCACTCCTGGGCTGAAATTGCTTCCTCTGATTTCACTGCACATGGTAACCTTCTCCCAATGTTTGTTAGAAGATGCAGTAAGTATGAGCCGGCCTCCTCTCCTGGCTGGAGGACATCCAGCATCATCTAGCGCTTTCCTGCCCAGCCTGACTGTCCCTGGCCTGTCATTGGGTATAAGTTCTTTCAGTTATGGAGGTTCAGCATCATATGTGGGTGCTACTTAGGGCAATTGGCATAAAAAACAAAGTAGCATTGTTCACACTTTACAGTCTTCAGAAATGGCAGTCATCAAGTGCAAGGGCTTTTCTTGGTTGGATTTCACTTCAATATACTGTGTAATGCAAGGACCGACCTATTCAGTTATTGGTAAATTTAAAGAAGCACTCCAGGGGGGGAATCTTAAGCCTTGCACTGGTGTTCCTGCCGCACTGCAAGGGTTAAGTGCCTGTTTTCTTCTGATCCAGCCGCCCCCCCCCACTGCGGCAATGGTATCTCCCTCGGTGTCCTCATGTCCTATACGCTGCATAGAACATGGTGACTCTAGGATCCTTAGACCGCTGCAGCGGAGGGGGAGTGAAGCAGAAGGGACTGGCCTAAGAGCAAGCTGGCTCTGAGGATCGAGCGAATATATCCTTTTTTTTTTTTTTTTTTTTACCTAGACCAGGGGTAGGCAACCTTGGCTCTCCAGCTGTGCTGAAACTACAAATACCATCATGCTTCTGCCTCTGGGAGTCATGCCTGTGGCGTGCAATGACTTATGGGATTTGTAGTTTCAGCACAGCTGGAGAGCCAAGGTTGCCTACCCCTGACCTAGACAGACGAGTACTTAACCCTTGCAGTGCGGAGGTAGCCCCTCTGCAAGGTTCAAGAATCCTTTTTTTTTTCCTTGAGTTGTGCTTTAAAGAAGCTTGTACAGCAGGTTTGTATTCTGCATGTCCAGTCTTAGTGTTCTATCAGTCCATGCTATTTTTATTACACCGCCTCTGCAAGGAACCATAAGCTAAATTGTTTTGTGTACAGCCTTCTACATATCATTTATCTTCCCTTAAGAGGCCAATTTATAATAGAGCGCGCATATGGCAATCCCCTCTCCACTATATATCGCAATGTTACTCCACACTGCAGTCTGCATTCTACAGCCCATTCATAATATGCAGGCAGTAGTGTACAACCTGTAATGTGTTGTGCAGTTCTCTCTGCTAAACGCAGCTTCATGATTGAAGGAGAGACCTTTTATTCTATTGAATAAGAAATCTTTGTTGGAGTGTACAGTATGCAGTGAAAGAATGTGTTGTTGTTTTTTTGCATGCGTTGCTTACTAATCATTGGTTATAATTCTTTCAGCTTTGGATAACTCGAATCACTGGTGCCCTTCAGGAACATGGCATGAAGTACCACAACTTTGTTGGTAACTTAGTCAAAGTGAGTCTTTTATTCTTAAGTATCTTCAAGCTAGTCATAGATGTTCATTTTTCAGACAAAGTTACTAACGAGCATTTACAGACTCTTAAAAACCTTTTTATGTTCCTTTTAAGGATAACTAACCCCAAGAACAAAATTAAAAAGTTACATTTTTGTTCCCCATGGTCCCTGTGTGTGTTGTTGTAAAGTACCCACTTCTCCAAGCTCACTCCCGGGATGGACTACAATATCAATATAAATTAGTAAACTAAACATGAGATTGTAGTCCATCACAGGAGTGAGCTTGGAGCGGTGACTACTTTACAACACACACAGGGACCATGGGGAACAAAAGTATCCCCCTCCCCCCAGAAGGATGGACAGTGTCGGCACCAATTCAGAGATGATTTGAGGACCTACAGCCGAGTGATACACAAATAAGATACATTTTTGTTAATGTACTTGAATGTATTTTTAAGATTTTAACTCCTGAGTTTAGTGTCAGTTTAATATTCTGCAGTCTTCTATCCAGCCAGCAGATGGAGTTCTAGTCTTCTTTTTCACACAGCTGTGTAAATGTAACGCTTTAAAGTGTATCTAACCCCCCAAAAAACTTATTTAGCTTCAACTGTTTAAACGCTGTTAGAGTCTTATAACCTGCCGGGTCAAGCTAAAAAACCATACAGTAATGGTTGTTTAAAGCGGAGCTACACCCTCCTATCCTTTACAGCCAAGGAAGGTGCCATCTTGACCTCTCTTTGGATTGCATTTGCCATGCTGCTGCACAGGTGATCGTCTACGACACCAGCCATTTGAGGACTTGAAAGTCAGGTTGAGAGCTGAACTGAGTGCACTGGCAAGCTGGCATTCCTTGAAAGTAATTGTTTTGGGAGACACTAAATTGGTGGGTGTAGTTCTGATTTAAAAGATAATTATTGGGAGAATAAAATTATACTCTTCCTAATACTTAGAGCATCGGTCACACATCGGCTCTAAATGTCAGTGACTTCCACCCCTGCAGAGATTCCCCCCTCACTCATTGGATGGACAGACAGGGGAGGTGATAGGCACGGGTGGCTCTGGCTCTAGAGAGTCAGAGCCAGCTGTCACTCAGACAGCATCAGGATCCTTCCCGGCTGCGGGGTGGCTTTGCACTGTCGGCATAGAGCAGTCAGTAGCCCACTAGATGCGGACTTTGGGTTACTGGAGTGCATTAGTAAAAGAACTCCCATGACCCAAAAGAGAAACATAGATGACAAACCGATCAGCTACATTTTTGGCTATTAGTTTTTCGAGCTGTTCATCACTTCTTCCTATCTTTCAGGGTCAAGTAGCTCTAAACCGGAAGGTTATGTCCGATTTGGCCATATATGAACCCAAGACCTTCAAATCACTGGCGGCCCTGGCCAAAAGAAGAGGTGAAGAAGGTTTGGCCTCTGCTCTTGGAGATGGGAAAGAACCCGAAGGAATATTTTCACGTGTGGTTTATAACCGCTAGTTCAGGATAAGACATTTTTCTTTATAAACTGCACAGAGATCAAAGATGTTTATTTCTTTCATACTGATGCACGAACAATGAGAACTGGCAGGAACCTCTTCTGTGTCGCAGCTTTCTGTATGTCTGCCGACCCCGGATAGGAAAACGTTACCACATCGGTATAAAGTAATGTGCACTCGTTGGTGCACAGGAAACACCTGGATATGTCTGAATTGAACTTTTATATGAGGGATACCTCGTCTGTGCCTAACAATGCGTTTTATGGCACATGAAGGCATACAGTGTTTTGTTACTTATTTGTGCATCCGTATCTTTTTATGATTAATAATAAATTGTCTTAAGAGACCAATTGGTGTGTTTGTAGTAGTTGTCACATCCGGTTCTGCACCAGATCCAGTTCCTATTGCAAACAGGTCACACTGACACTCAGCGCTCATCCAGCCCTAATTTAGGCTACTCCTGATTTGCATTAAAAGAGAACTATGGGTTAAGTGTTTTTCCCCATAAGTTCTCTTAAGGTTCATGGGAGGATATATACTAACCTCCTCCCGTGACCCAAAGCTCAGAATATCGCAAGCTACAGCTCGCGGTATACTGAGACCGCCACAGCCGGGACAGAACACGACATTAGTGTCGAGATCCACCCAGCTGCATGAATGACAGCTGGCTCTGCCCATCTAGAGGCAGAGCCAGCTGTACCCGCCCCCTTCCTCCTGTCAGTGCTGGAGGATCAGAGCGGGGAGGGTAATCCCTGCGGGGAGCACTGACTGACAGTCACCGCTCTTTGCCGGGAGATGATCGAGAAGTGAGCTAGCGACGGTATGTGTTTTGTGCACTTCCCGATCTATTGGGCCGACGTGTGACAGTTTCTTTGACACACGGCGCCTCGAACTATGAGGGTGAGTGATTTTTCACTCCCCTCATAGTTCTCCTTTTTAAGTATATGGTAAGCAATGACAAGCTGCCACGGCTGTCCGCCGCTGTTCACAAGTATCCGCACATCCCTGTGGCTAGGGACAGATGACTGGCCCTGGAAGTAATCTGTCTGCGTTCAGGGCTGGACATCTGTCCCAAGCTGCAGGTAACTGCTTGATGTGCGGATACAGCAACAACATTGTATCCAGTTCTATTCACTGCAATGTGGTATACTGCAACGACGTGGTGACAAAGATACTACATGTAGTACTTTTTTCACCAGAATGTGGAGTTGCAGACTGACTTCATTGTAAACAAGGCCATTCATCTACAGTATGCTTAAGGACTGAGCCATAAGGGGCAAAATGCATCTTTGCAATGGGGCATTGCATATTAATGCAGCTCTGATGCACATGTGTTGCAATGCACCACAAGGGACAGGAGCTCACTACTGTGTTTTGTGATGTGCCGTGTCAGAAAAAATGCTGCATGTCTGCATTAGGTCTGTTCTTGTGCATCGGCAGTTCATTCCAAATGAATGGGCTGCCTTAATGCAACACACATAGGCCTCATGAGGACATGTGCCATAAATTGCAGGCGTATTTTTAGGATCCGCATCTGCCGCTTACAAATGCCCAGAGTAATTAATGGCGGTACAAGGGTTAACATCTCTACTAGTGTAAATCCGCACATGCTTACAACCCTGGATGTCGGGGCAACATAGTCACAAAAAACTACCCTGTGAAGGAAACGGCTTTACACATACCTGTCATCAGCCAGTTTGCTAAAACTTCACTCCCGGCACAGACCCAATTTGACTCCTTGGGTTGATCGAATTACAGGTTTCCTGCTGTTGATCCTTAGCTAATGCAGGACACAGTAGTGATGGTGGGGTTGGTTGGTGGGAGGAACCACTGTGGCTAGCAGGGAATATATTATTCTACACATGAAAGTCTAGAATAGTATCCATGCCAGAAGCTCTGCTACACCAAAGGGGCCAACAGACAGGTATATATAAAACTTTCCTGGGCAGGTTAGTTTTGTGATTTTGTTG